ACATCATGGACCTCCCCCCACACCATATGACAGTGACGGTGACACCACCCACCCCTCAGAACTGAAGGAGAGAGCGAGGATGAGGTAACCTACACAGCAGGCCCAGCATACAGAGTTCTAGAAACTGGAAAATCAGGGCAAGCATTAGAGGAAACAGGTTTTAGTGTACTCTGAATCCATTATAACGTATAGATCATACGAACAAAAAACACAGTTGATTTTCAAGACCAAATCCATCTAACTAGTAAAACAACCCCCCAATAACCTAGCTTATAATTGCAAATTAAAATCATTAATGCCATCTGCTCATTAAATTAGCAAAGTTTTTGTAACTGTAGTGACTAATGTTGGTCAAAGGGCAGTGATACAGGCACTATCATATTTTTACAAAGGTATCTGGAATCACAAGTCATTAAAGGTTTGCTACAATGTACCCAATAATTTCAACTCTAAACAATGATTCCTAAAAAAGTAAACCAAAAGTTCAGAGACCCCCTCCAGAGAACAGGTGGGGTGAGAACAGATAGGGTAACCATCCACTGAGCTGAAGCAAGGAGGGAACCTGGGCTCCAAAGACTCTTTAAACAGACTTTCAACTGGTCCTTCTGTTTTTATCTCCACCTTCACACTCATTTTCAGAAATACTATCAATTCTTTTTTTTTTTTTTTTTAAGTTTTATTTATTTTGAGAGAGAGAGAGCAGGGGAGGGGCAGAGAGAGAAGAAGAGTGAGAATCCCAAGCAGGCTACACTCTGTCATGGCAGAACCTGACTGGGGGCTCAATTCCACAATGGTGAGTTCATGACCTGAGCAGAAATCAAGAGTTGGTCACTCAACCGACTGAGCCACCCAGGCGCCCTGAAATACTACCAATTCTTAAATGTTTGGACTCTTCTCCAGAACAGTGAGGCTGCCTCTCAGCCTCTTCCATTGTGCATTCAGGAAGCCACTCTCCCAGATCCAGGGTTAGGGTCAGGGTCAAGGCCAAGGTCAGGGCTAGGGCCAGGGTGAGGGATAAGGTATATGCCCGGCACCCTGCAGCCCAGAAGCCCCTCAAAAGGGCCAGGGCTAGTTTCAGGGTCAGGATTAGGATTAGAGTCAGAGGTTAAGGGTTAGGGGCCAGGGCATGAAAAATTTGATATGCATGATGATGTTCATTACATTATTTATAGAAAAAATGATGTAAGTTATATGTTCTATAAAATATTACACAGCAATAAAAAGGATGGCTATGGAAATTACACACTGCAAAAAGAATGTGATACAAAACTACCTAAAAAAAGCTATGATACTAATCTAAATATAATCTAGGATTACAACACGTGAAAAACTTAATGTGTATAGGAAAAATATTAACAGTAATTGTATTAAGAAAGTAGGATATTTTGAGTAATTCTTTGGCATCTTCGGTTTCCACTTTTGGAAATACGGTCGGATTTCTTTGGAAAGCAAACATGCATTTGATTAACGTACTCCAAGCGCTGTGACAGAGGTCAGCTCACCCACCAGAACCCACTCACGCGTTCGCTTCCATTCACAGTACAGTCCCGTACCCCAAGTCACTACTTCTAGAAGTGTCCTGTTTCCACAAACTGAGTCAGAATGAACACCCAAATGCTTGCCTTTTTTTTTTTTAAAGCACAATTCTACATAGAACAGCCTGTCCAATTTTCACCTTGTCCTCCTTTGTATCCGTCCATTTCCACTTCTGGGTTGAAGGGTAAGAAGTATGGAGCAGAAAAAGAACCAGAGCCTTCATCCATGGCTGGCTCTTGTTCCCTGGAGGTCCCCCCCAGCCACCTCAGCAGGACCTCGGTCTCCCCGTCTCCATCAGCCTCACCCACAACAAGGGCCAAGGTGGTACAATTCAAGGAGGCTTTGACTGATAGGCTCTCCATGGGGGTTCCCACCAGAGAAGACTGACACCCTTTACAACAGACTACCACACATCTCCGTCTTCAGCAGATCAGGGCAGGTGAATTTATAAGCTATGGTGAGTCAGTATTATGAAGGCCAGAACTCCAAGTTCATACTCCTCTTATCATAAGCTCTACACTCTTGTCTCACTCGTCTTTTGGACCTTTCCACCTCTAGGCAAAAAAATCAGTGAAGTCTGAACAAAGTAAAGGGTTGGACAAAACCACTGAATGAATCTTCACCACATACTGAGCCCATTTTTTGCATCACAAGGCAAGGCGATGGACTCCATGATCTCACTCAGTGGCTTTTCCTTCACGTCCAGGAGTCTATTATGTATTGACTCATCAGGCTTCTGAAACCATTGCCATAAATGACAAACAGATAGCCCTTTCGGCACAAGAGAATGTATCCGTGAAATTAAAAGGAGCCCTGCTCATCTCTTGGCTCAAAGAAAACTTGAACATCACACGCTGCTGAGTTTCAGATCCAACCCTTGAAGTTCAGACCACGGTAGATGTGTCTGGAGCAGGGCTGGTGTGGATACAACTTTGTTTACTCTGTCAGCCCAGGGCTGTGCCGCCGGAGCCATGCTGGCTCGCCATGGCCAGGCTCACAAAGGGCCCTTGTAGCTCTGGGGCCAAGCCTCAATGGTCTGTCTGTTACGTCCCCTGCGCCATTTTGATGTGCCACGTCAATCCGGCTGCCAAGACTGGCAATTGGCTCAAATCCCTCATACATTTCTTCTTTTTAACGTCATAGCTTTGAGACAAATGACACTTTCCACAAATAACTGGGTACATCTCCTGTTGGCGTTTCCCTCCTCCCCTTCCCATATCTCGCCACTCCATATCGCACGTACTGCCAAATGATGAAAAGCAGAATGACCCACTTTAGGCACTGCTGTAAAGCCAAAGGGAAGTGGCTTGATGTGGGGACATTCCCACCTTCTACCAAGCTCTAGAGGCTAAGTTAAATGTTTAGGAAAAACTGTGAAGTATCACAAACCGAACTCTGATATGATCGTGCGGTAAACATCACAGACTACTTTACACAAGTCTCTGGAATCGATGTGGCACCAATTGGAGATATGAAGACTCTTTCCCCCCTTCTTCAAACCTGGTGCTTTTGAAGTTTAAATGTCTCCTGTGGCTTAAGGAACTATAAGAGGGTAAGAGGCAAGAGCCCCGTGGGCCCCATCTTGGATTCCTCAGTGGGGTCAGGCTGTGCCCCCTTTAGGAAGAATGAGTTCTGCAGCCCGTCAGAGGTCTAAAAGGTGGCGTACTGCTCCCAAGCTGGCATTTCTGGCCCAGTGCACGGAAACGTGTCAACAGCTGGGAAGAAAAGGGCACGTCGGCCGGCTCTCTTCCTGCCAGGGCCCAGTCACACCCTTTGCGGAAGACGGACAGCCAAGGTATGCCCTGCGCCCAGTCGCTGGGGTCGCACAGGGAAAACTCGACTCGTCTGATTTAGAAACAGATAAATAAGGCCCTCTGTGAAAACGAAGACATAGCCAATAACAGGCAGTGGCCCCTTGCCTGTTCTTCTCACGCTCCACACTCTCCCCAAGAAGCTCGGCAACGTCGAAATGCCGGGAACTCCCAAATTTGTATCTTCGGACCCAATTTCTCCCTTGAGAGCTTGGTTTCCAATTGCCCTACGACTCCTCAGCTTCCATACCTGATCAGTCATTAAATCCCACCAATTCTGCTTCCACGCCTCTCACAGTATATAACGCTCCCCTACCCCTCTGGCCTCAAACTTGGACCGTCCTCCCCGATTCCATTGAAATTGTTCCTAAAGGTCCGCATTGGTCCCAGTCCTGTTCCTCTGCTTCATCACCACCCTTCACTGCCCCTGAGGTCAGCCTAATAAACATCACCAGAGTCTCGACTTGAAAACACTGGCTTTCCTGATCGCTTATGGCTAAATTCCAAACTCCAGAGTAGGACTCCCAAAGCCCTCTACCAGTCGGTCTCTGCTCCCTGTTCTAACACACCTCTGCCACTGCTGGCCAAACTGCCCCCACCAGCGACACTGCAGCTCATTCGAGACAAACAGGCGGCGCGCCCCCTGCACGGCGCGCCCCCTGCACGGTGCGCTCTGCTACCTCCTCTCTTCGCATGATTTCCCCACAGCTCCTGCTCGTCCTTCAAGACCCTGTTTGGAGGTCACCTCCCCTGTGGGGCTCTTCCACCGCCCCTCCAGTTGTGAGTCATACTATCTCCCTGGTTCCGAGCACACAGCATGCTGCATGGCATCGATGGACTCAGAGGCTGGCTCCCCCGGGACAGCACCCTCAGGTTCTGGAGGGCAGGGAGTCTTTCTCTATCTCTGAACTTGGTACAAGGCTGCACAGAGTTTACAGTCAGCAAGTGCTGCTGAATGCACCGGGTCATCAGAAGAGGGATTAGAATTAGCACAACGGAGGGGAGAGATTTTGACGGTCGGGACACGGGAGCCTAGCTCCAGAAGCCTCGGAGCTGTGGGCTGTGGAAATGTATGAATCTCTCCAGGTTTTAGTTTCTCATCTGTTCAATATGGAGGGGAGACTACATGATTTCTATGGCCTCTTTAACTCCTCGGTTCTAGCGATCAGACTACGTTTTCCTTTCCAATCTACAATGAAGAAAGGCTCCATAAAACCCCACGGTAATAACATGCTCCGGGAGTTGGACGCTCTCCACAAAGCCAGCCAGGAATATTGCTGCCTTGCCTGGCCACTGGGCACAGCTCCCCAGGACAGCCAACAACGGAGTCTCCTCCCCTCGACTCAGAAATCCCCAGTTGCCTTCTGTTACATTTGGAGAATATCCCTAGTTGCTCTCTGTTCTGTTTCACTCTACGTATTTTGGCCAAGAAGTGGCTTATTAAATATTATGCACAGGAAAAAAAAAAAAAAAAAA